CCCCTCCTGTGACCTTCCATTTGAGTCCGCAGGAAACAGATAACCAAATGAGTGAGTTAGCTCGATCCTGTGTCTCATCCAGTCTGAGGGCCGTCAAGTGTAAAGTGTACAGGTATTTTATACCCCACTTAAGAGAGAAAAGTAGTTGCCAATTAAACCACAACCCATCAGCTACTATCAATCCCGTCTTACTTTCAGCGACAATGAAATAAATGTAGCCTCAACCTATGCGATCTAGCGGGGAGCTCAATGATGAGGCGTGCTGGGAGAAAGATGGTAGCAGGGAAGGGGCAGCGGGGGAGTGTCGAGGGGCTTGTGTGCTTGAACAGGGTGGAAAAGAGCTCACCAAGAGGGTGGCTTTTGGGTGAAGCCCAGAATCAGACAAAGTGAAGAGTCCTGCCCATTGGTACCTGGGTGAAGGGCATGCTAGCTAAGAAGGACTCTAAATGCAAAGGTCTTGGGTGGTGTGTGCTGGCATATTTAAGGAACACAAGGGGGCTATCGGTGGGGTATTGGAGATGAAATCCAAGGGACAGCAAGAGCGAAGGGCTTTGGAAGCCAAGGTGTTGACTGTAGATGAGGCAGAGCCGTCATAAGGTTTTCAGCAGAGGGGAGGCATGTCCTGATGTCCGTTTTCAGGGGGTCATTACAGCTGCTGTGCTGAGAAGTGGTGATGGGGCACACAAGCAGGAGAGGTCCAGGATGTCCTCATGGGCACTATTAGTTTGAGTAGCCTATTAGACATGCAGAAGATGATGTTGGCCAGGCAGCTGGACAGGGCAGTAAAGAGATTGAGTGGAGATGCCAAAGCAGGAGATATGGTCCAGGATGGTGTTTCAAACTGTGAGCTAGGAGAAAATCCTGGACCGGATGCAAATACAAAGGGGATGAGGGTTGAGGACTGGGCTCTGGGTACTCTGACATACTGTGGCCAGGGACATGAGGATGAACCAGCAGAGAGGCCACATGAGACAAGCTAGTGGTGTGGGAAGGACTGCAGGGGAGCGACAAGTTCCGGAAGAAGGTGGAATGAGTAACTGTAGCAAACACCATTGGCTGGAAGGAGCCACAAGGAGGCCACTGATGCCCTTGATGGGTACCCTGATGAATGGAGGGATGAGAGTTAAAATGTGATTAAAGAGAGATCTCTTCCATGTTTTGTCATGAAGAAAAATAAAAAGGAAATTTAGTTGATGGAGGTAGAAATGGCACTTAAAAAATATATTTTTAAGCCCAGGAAAAATAATAGTGAATTGGTATACTGACAGAGTCCCCCGGGTAGCACAAACAGTTAACATGCTACGATTTCCCCCAGAAGTACCACAGAAGAAAGGCCTGGTGATCTACTTCCAAAAAAACCGCCAGTGAGAGCCCTATGGAGCACGGTTCTACTCAGACATATCAGGGTTGTCGTGGAGTTTGAGTTGATGTGATGGTAATTATTTAGGGTTTTTTTGTTGTTATTTTTGGAAACTGGTTTTGAGATGTTGGCAGGCTAGATCCAGCTGCAGAAACAAAGTTGAAGACAGCAGAAAGAGCCAAAGAATAACTTAGAATATCGGTGAAGTTAGGGTTAGACAGGATGGGGAAGGTCCACCCTTCGGAACTAGAGAAATGGCAGAGCCCGCAAGAGCTCCCTTATGATGCCTCCTGTTTTCCCATGGAGAGAGATGTCAGCATCAGGGGGGGTACAGACGGGAAGAATGCTGGCTTTCAGGAGAGAGAAGATGTGGCCGAGGCATCAGGATGAGTGCATGGCCTAGGCAAGGAAATCCAATGGTTGGGCACCCTTCAGGCCTCCTTTTAGGGCCAGTGCTCCTTTTAACAGAAGAGTCCGCTGCAGGGCTGTGTGTGTGTGTGTTTCTCGGGTGGGGAGGAGCTGGGCAGTTTAATGGGACAGGCTTGGGGCTCTGCCCAATGAGTGATGCAGAGGCCAGGTGCGAAGGAGCCTGGGAGGAGCCATTCCACGGCTGACTGGAATCTAAGCAGGATCAGGCAAGGGGTGGCCTTGCAGAATCTGAGCTGTGAGGTAGTGGGGACCGAGAAAAGCCTGCGACTCCTGCGATGCTGGGCTGGGACACTCGAGAGAACGACTGCCGCTTGTCGTGTTAGGGACGACAGAGCACCTCCCCCATGCGATCCTCCAGGCGAGGCACGCTTCTCCCAGGAGTCCCGGCAGGCATATGCACAATGGCTGTGTGTAAGGAAGCTGGCTCGAGTCTGTGGTCCGATCCAGGCGTCTCCTTTTAGGAGTGGTTGACCGGGATGGGTGGGGTAGCCTTCTTGGGCTTTGATTTCTTAGGGGCTCCCCGTCCTTCTTCCTAGAGATGTCGTGAAGATTAAACGAGATACTGCATACAACCTTCCTAAGCCAGCATCAGACACAAAGCACTCCCAATACAGGCGACTCCTGCCAGGCAGCCTAATCGGGGTACCACAGAAGAGGGATCCCACACCCCCGGCAGTGCAGGACAGGCTCTGCTCGAGACCAGGACAGCTCTTTCTCCTCCCGCCTCACTTGCTGTCCTCCCTCCAGCTGCTGGACACTCTGTGTCCCCGCAGGATACAGGCAAGCAGGCCTCCCATTGGCCACCAATGGACACAGGCTGTAGCATGATGAACGCTTTGGCTGCTGCCATGACAACCAGCAATGGCCAGACGTCAATTAGGAAGGAAGAATAAAGGGCATCCAATTAGGAGAAGAAAATAGGATTAATTCTCTCCTTGTTGAGGAATCTCCAGGGCTGGGGACACGTTGGCCCAGAGAAGTGGGTCTGGAGGAGCAATCTGCACTGTCGTCTAAGGGCCCCCACAACCGGAAGACCCTTCCAATCGCCATGCTTGCCTGACTGCTGACTGAGATCCCCATGTGCTCTGAGGGGCACCTGGCTGGCTCCTCGATGCCCAGAGTTAAGCTCCCACCACTAACGACAAGGCACCGGAGTTAACAAAGCCCTTCCTGTCTTACACCTCACGTGCACTTCATGACCAGCTCCTGAGCGAGCTACACACCCCATTTTACAGACGAGAAAGCTGAGGCATCTGCTCCCAGGTCACACTACGAGAGTGTGGAAGGACAGGAATCGGCACTCCAGTCTGTGTGACTCTCAAGCATGGCATGTTTTTCTGAGGACTAAACTGTTCATGGGCTCCTTCCCCGCCTATCTTACCAGTGGGGTGAGGAAGAGGAAGGCGGTGCAGTTTTGTTCCAGGGTAAAAAAACAAAGAACAGACTTACTGCCACTGAGTTGATGTCGACTCTCTAGGGCAGGGTGGAACTGCCCTTGTGGGTTTCTCAGATTGTAAAGCTTTAACTTTCTCCCGAGGAATGGCTGGTGGTTTTGAACTGCTGACCTTGCAGATCGCCGCCCAACTTGTAACCACGACTCTACCAGACCTCTTCAAGGAAGGGCCTACCAATGGTTCATTCACCGAGAGCCGACTGCGTGCCAGGCACTCCAGCAGGGATTGAACATGCACTATTTCCCCTTAATCCTTCTAAGTGCTTTTAGTGGGCACTAGGTTAGCACGATCATTCCCATTTATGGATGAGAGAAACAGTGGTCAGAGCGGTTCAGGAACTTGCTCAAAGTCATTCGGCTACATAGAAAGTGATCCAGGTGGGATCTGAACCCCTGCATGTTTATTCTCATTATTCTAGGCTTCTTGTACGGTCTCTACGGCTATCTGGGAAAGCTGTGATAGATGGCTATCATCTTCCAAGGTCTGGCCGTCATTAAAAAGCACTTTCAGATCTAATTCCTATCCTTCTGGGAAAGGCATTCCCCCCCTTCACCCCCAAGAAGTCTGGGACCCTCCTATCCCTGTGGAAGCATCTCTGTAGAAAGAACCTTGGATGACCTCGATCGGCACCACACCTGTGCTTCCTTCACCGTCTAAGTGAAACTCGGGGGACCCACTCACTCCCCAGAAGGATGGCTAGACAGACAGGCAGACCAGGCGCTCCTCACCAGGCATTCCTCTGGATGGCTCCTGTCTGTGGTGCAGACATCCACTCTCAAGGTCTTCTGGTGAAGGGCCGGATAGGACACGGACACCCAGAACACCTCATTAAACACGAGCGTGTCTGCGGCGTCCAGGGGCCGGGTCCGGAACAGGCAGATGGTGCTTTCGGAGCAAGGAAGGATAGCCACGCGGATGTTTCTGGAGGAGACAAGAAAGGCCGCATCGGGTCAGCCTGGGTTGGGGCCTCTACACAGGGCTACAGAGCTGCTGAAGGGCGCCAAGGAAACTCTCATGCACCAGGGTTTGTCAGTTTCTCAGGGTACACAGATATTTGTGAGTGAGGCATCTAGGGCTTCAGGGGTCACACATGGCTCCTCCTTCCCCAGAACCCTCCCAATCTTAGACGCTCCAAGGCTGGGGCGTCGTCTGAGGCCAGTGGCATGCAGAGCTCAGTGGGGAGAAGGCTCCTCGAGGACTCAGGGTCCACTGTGGGCAACTGGCCCTTTGTGCACAGCTCTGCAGAGGGCAAGGGGCAAACTCTAAGATAATCACAAACACGGCTGCTCCTTGAGCCAGGCAGCTGACTTGTGGACACTGTGCCACAATATAGCCTTGCTCAAACACCGCTGAGAGGCGAAGCCGCTTATTCATCCCAGCCCTTCCAGCCGTGCACACCCCCCCTGGATCCAATCTTATCCTCCGGCTGCGTTGCCTGCCTGCCTTCTGCTGCGCCTCCTGCTGTTGGCTCAGATCGTAAACGCAGCTCCTGCTGCGGAGGTGCCTTCGAGACCCCAGAGGTCAGTTCAGTCTCATTTCCAGACATACTTCCACCAAGACCCTTGTGCAAATACCACTGAGACACAGAGAAGAAAACGCATTGGCCCAGAGATGAGGACAGTGAAACAGAGGCCTGGCCTGGAGCGAGGATCCACGTGCAGATGGCAGGCGTGTTTGCCAACTCAGCCATAGGAACGGACCCCTGAAAGGGCCAGGTCTGTCTCTTGATACCAGGGGCCCTGACCATCCCTGTGCCTGAGAAGTGACGTGCACGAGGGCAGGCAGGGGGCAGGCCCACCATGGCTCTGATCTGCTGGTGGAGGGGCGGAGGCCGTCTGGACCACTCCTCTTTGTGGCTAGTAGGCCTGCAGCCCCGTCGGCAACACTGGTGCCCTTCGACTCCGGGCTGGTGCTGCTCACTGCGGTCAGTCTGGCCCCGCATCATGGTGACTTGGTATCTTCAGGGCGAGGCATGGTTCCATTTGGTGCCATCCCCACGATGGCTATCATGCTCCAGTGCCACGTTCAGTGTCCCTTGTTTCCTTGGCCCTCTTCTGGCGATGAGCCCTGCCCAAGGAGGCACTGTGAGTCGGGGAGCGTATGGCTCATCATCTCAGGCACTTTGCAGGAGCATTCCTGAGAATGTCTGTCTGCTCCTCGGCCCGGCTCCATTCCCTCTTCTTGGCCCACAGTTCCCAGGGGACGACCCTCCTGCCGTCTCTCTCTGCCGTTCCCCAACTTGGGCTCCTAGATCAGGTAACTGAAAAGGCCATTGCCTTCGATCTCAGCGACGCCTTGGCTTTTCACAACGTGAAAGAGGTCACTTGCGGTCTGCTTGCCCCACGCACCATGTCCTGCGCATCTTTGCTGCGATTTCCAGGGAGCCTGATGGCGGCGCCGAGTCACAGGAAATCCTCAGTCACTTCAAACCCAGTCAGGCGCACCCCGGAAGGTCACCGTCAGACCAGGGCAGAGGCAGAGTAAACTCACAGGGACCCACCGGGCAGAGACAGAGGGGAGAGGGAGCACCCGTGGCCACTGAGCAGCGTACTCACACTCTCTGGTCTGGCTGCAGCAGGAGAGCAGAGAGGTTACTCAGCTGGACGACCAGGATCGCAAACTGCTTGTTCTTCTCGTCGTACCTGAAAAGAAAGCATGCACCCGGAGAGCCGGTTTGACACCCCTGCCTCTCTCATACTCTCTTAAAAAAAAATCACCACCATGTTACTGTTGGCTGCTCTGGGGACTGAGCAGTGGGCACAGGCGCAGAGCCCCCCCTCCACACACACCCCCACTGCATTTTTAAAGGCAAGTCAGAACTTGGTGTGAAACGCCCCAATTTAAATCTGAAGGTTGGCAGCTCACTCACACATCTCTAGTAATAGAAGATTTTTTTGGCCTAGTCACCAAATCTGGGCTGCAGCCCCCCGGAGGCAAGCCCGCCCCACCTGCCCCCCAGATGGAGGTGGCGGAAGCCGAGTGCTAGGGCAATGGCGGGCTAGGGCAACAGCAGGCGCGCAGAATAGGAGCCGGGGGTGGGGAGGGAGGGTCTCAATACTGATGTCCATCTTGAGGCCAGCCATGCTTTCTCTCAAAACCCTACTCCTCTCATCTGTTAAATGGAGAGTCTGGAGGTGGGGAAGAGCTGGCCTCGCGCCTGCAGTTAGAGGCCCTGTGGCTCGGCCTCCCTCCCTGGGCAGCGTGATGGCAAGTGTGGGTACATGCGGGGGAGGAGGGGGGGACGTGCCCCAAGCAGGAGGGTGCTCTCTGCTCAGCCTCAGGTCTCTGACTCTTACTTCAGGGCCATCTGAACTCGAGCCGTGCCCACTGCTTCCGATTCATCGCTGTCGAAGAAAGCCGTGGCCTCTGAAGCGCCCAGTCTGAAAGGCAACAGGGGACAAGAGGGTCACCAGGCTTCCCTGCGGCATCTCAGAGCAAAGCCATTTTCCACAGCCAGGTTCACTCAGGGAATGTGTGTGGACAGATTCTCAATGAGAGTCTAACCCCCAGGCCCTACCTTCCCATGATTCATCCGGAATCCCTCTATTTAAGGGACTCCCCTCTCTCCACTCTTTGAACGGTTACCATGGGAACCACTCCCACCCCAAGGATGAGCCAGGCTGCCTGTCTCCTCTGCGAAGCGCTAGACAGAGGGAAAGGTGGGGGGGAGTCAGGTATGCCCTCCGTGGTCACCCCTATCCACACACCCATGGGGGCTGTCATCCCACAATCCCACAGTTGGGCTTAGTCTACACCCAGTTCCCAGCCTGTCTGGACCCCAAGTCAGGACCCACCTCTGCACAGAAGCCTCGTACACACCACTGTCCCCGGCCACGGACTCGTCTGACACTGCAGCGGAGACACCGGCCACTCTGAGGCCACACCCTGGAGTGGTAGTCACAGCTGGAGGAAGGAGGGGGAGAAAGAATTTACAGTGGGCTTCAGTAACCACGATGGTATCTTTGCAACACCCCCAATAGCCACTCTCTGTCCTAACACCCCCTGCCACCAAGTCGGTTCTGACTCATATAGGACCCTACAGGACAGCTCAGAACTGCTCAAGGTTTCTGAGGCTCTAAATCTGTACAGGAGCAGACAGCCTCATCCTTTTCCCTCAGAGCAGCTGGTGGGTTTGAACTGCTGACCTTGTGATCAGCAGCCGAATGCTTAACCCACTACACTGCTAGGGCTCCAGTCCCACCAAATTCCAACCACCCTTCAACTCTAGGGCAATGTCTTGCTTTGCTTCAGAGAACTAGAGGGCTGGTAGATGGTTTTGTAGTTATCATGCCAAACTCTGGGTTCAAACTGCTGGCATTCAATTCTCGGTTCTTCCTCTTGCTGTTTGAGGGCCTTGGGAAGTTCACCCACCTCTTTGAGCCCCCTATTTCTCCTCTGTGGAAGGGGACAGTAAAGTCTACCTCACAGGGCTCCTGGGAGACCCACATAAGATATTATAAGGAAGTCATATAGAGAAGGATGCATTAAAAAAAATAAAAGATGATCACTCTCCTTATTCCAGAGGAGTCCTGGTGGAGCTGACGGCTAAGGGAGGGGACTGCAAACAGCAAGGCCGGAAGTTCAAAGCCACCAGTGGATCCGAGGGATGAGGATGAGATTGTCTGCACCCATAAAGATTTAGAGAGCCCCAGAAACCCTATGTAAGATTGCAGTGAGTCTGAATCCACTTCATGGCAGTGGGTTTCTCTTGGGGCTTTTTGGCCTCTTTACTTTTGAGTGCTTGGGTGGTGCAGAGGGTTAAGATGTGTAGCTTCTATTTGAAAGGCTGGAGGGGTTGAGTCCTCCCAGAAGTGCCTCAGAACTAATGCCTGGCCACTTACTGTTGAGAAAGCAGCCTCTGAAAGCCCTGTGGAGTCCAGCTGTCCTGACACACGTGGGGCCCAGGCGCCAGAGCCACATCCAGGGCAACTGGGGCTCCATCCTTCCTGCTACTTTGGTGCCCCTCACCATGGTGATGCCTTCTTGCGCCTTCCCACACGCCGTGTAGAGCCTTCCCCACACTCCTGGGTCCCCACACACCTTCAAGAGCCTTCCCTACACTCCTGGGTCCCCACACACCTTCTAGAGCCTTCCACACACTCCTGGGTCCCCACACACCTTCTAGAGCCTTCCCCACACTCCTGGGTCCCCACACACCTTCTAGAGCCTTCCCCACACTCCTGGGTCCCCACACACCTTCTAGAGCCTTCCCCACACTCATGGGTCCCCACATATCTTCAAGAGTCTTCCCCACACTCATGGGTCTCCACACACCTTCTAGAGCCTTCCCCACACTCATGGGTCCCCACATATCTTCAAGAGTCTTCCCCATACTCATGGGTCTCCACACACCTTCTAGAGCCTTCCCCACACTCCTGGGTCCCCACATATCTTCAAGAGCTTTCCCCACACTCCTGGGTCCCCACACACCTTCTAGAGCCTTCCC